AGCATTATTCTTTCTGGTTCCGTATTCTTAGTCATGCTGATTTTTAAAAAGCCAGCCCTCCATCATGATTGTTTGTTAGTCTTTAATATTGTTTGTTTAAGTATTGTAAAACACCCTAGGTTTTATGTATTTGTGAAGGCTTTCACGGCCGGGATTTAATGGTTGTTGTGGGTTTTTCGGGCTCTTTGACTGTTTCTGAAGGTTGTTCTTGCTAACGTTTTGCCAGTCTCCATGGCCGGCATCTTCAGAGGACAGCACTCTGTGCTCTGGTGGAGATTGTTTGGGAGTTGAGTATTTATGGCTGTGAGATCAGCTTTTGTCCTTTTCAGGAGATGGGTGATTATGGTGATCAGTGTGTTTTTGTTGTGGGTGTATTGTTGTGATAAGGAGGAGAGATTATCTGTCACTGTGGTTGACTATACGGACTCCCCAAAATCCACAAGGACTCAATCCCACTCAGGCCCATTGTAAATGCCATCGACTCCCCAACATATGAATTAGCCAAATACCTAGTGACCCTCCTACAGACCCACATTGGACAAACCTCATCCTACATCAAAGACTCAGGACATTTCATAAGCAAGATCAGCGTCCTAAAACTCAACCCTGGGGACAGACTGATCAGCTTTGATGCATTATCTCTGTTCACCAAGGTACCGATAAAGGACACTCTGACACTCATCCAGCAGATCTTTCCAGAAGACATCAAGACCCTTTTCAAACAGTGCCTAACCAGCTATTTTCAGTGGGATAATGAATTCTATGAACAGACAGATGACGTGGCCATGGAGAGCCCCCTCAGCCCGGTTATAGCAAACTTCTACATGGAGCATTTCGAAAAACTGGCCCTGGTTTCAGCACCTTTTGCACCCACAGTCTGGTTCCGATATGTGGATGACATCTTCACATTTTGTTGCCACGGTGGAGAAAAACTGGAAGAATTTCTGAACCATCTCAACAGCATCCACTCAAATATACAATTCGCCATAGAAAAAGAAACAGAGGGTCAACTTCTGTTCTTAGATGTCATGGTCATACACAAAACTGACCTCCGATTGGGACACAAGTTCTACAGAATACCCATCCACACAAACCGGTACCTACACAAAAACTCCAACCACCACCCACAGCAAAAAAGAGGCATAATCAAAACACTGGTACACCGTGCAAATTGGAACTGTGAAGCTCAGTTTCCCAGCACTGAACCCAACCATTTGAAATGGGCTCTAAAGGCAAATGGCTGCTCCAAAAATGAAATCACATGAGCCATCAAGCCAAGAAAACAACACCAAACTGAAGAAGAAAAACAGCCAACCACAAACAAAGTATTTCTGCCATACATCAAAGGGGTCACGGACCGCATGGAGAAACTTTGGAAAAAACACAACTTACAAACAGTATTCAAACCCACCAAAAAAATACAACAAATTTTACGGTCAGCAAAGGATAGAAGGGATCCCCCTCACCACTGCAGGAGTATACCGGATACCTTGAAGTTGTGGCCAGGTATATATTGGAACCACAAAACAAAGTATCCACACCAGAATCAAAGAACATGAGAAACATTGCAGACTAAAACAACCAGAAAAATCGGCAGTAGCTGAACATCCCCTAAAACAAGCTGGACATGAAATTCTATTTCAAAATACTGAAATACTGGACAACACCAGCAATCATTACATTAGACTGCACAGGGAAGCCACTGAAGCAGCAGAATGTCAACAAAAAAGAGGAAAGTTTGAAACTCAACAAAATTTGGTTCCCAGCACTGAAAAATACAGCGTGCAAAAGGTCAATGAACTCTACCCAGCCACAAGGACCAGTGATCACTACACACAAAAGACCAGCTAATGCCACCCATCAATCACAGTGACAGATAATCTCTCCTCCTTATCACAACAATACACCCACAACAAAAACACACTGATCACCATAATCACCCATCTTCTGAAAAGGACAAAAGCTGATCTCACAGCCATAAATACTCAACTCCCAAACAACCTGCACCAGAGCACAGAGTGCTGACCTCTGAAGATGCCGGCCACAGAGACTGGTGAAACGTTAGGAAGAACAACCTTCAGACATGGCCAAAGAGCCCAAAAAACCCACAACCCTAGGTTCTCTTGAAGAAAAGGGTGGGGTATACGTACAACTGAGAGGAAACATTTTGCTAATCCTGGTGGAAACAGGGATTCTGTAAGAAGGGATTATTGAGAAGGCAGTATAAAAGCCAGTGACAATCCACAAATTGAATCAAGAAGATGAGCACTTGAAAACTCTTTGAATTGTTTTTTTCTTCTTCACCTTCCTGGCTTTTGTACTCTTCAGTGAAGTATGAGGTCTTTTATAATTAGGCTGCATAAAAGATTTAGGCACAGATGGAATGGGGCATCCACAACTGATCCATTAGAGATGCTGCTAATACTGCCAGCAACACTAAGCCTCTGATATTGTGACTGCAGATTTCAACCACCAAAGATACTTGGAGTCAAGAGAGCTGACCCATTGTAGAAGCATTGTCATGAGCACTTCATCTTAGATTTTCACGTAGACAAAGAAGCTATGAATAGCAACATGTTCTGAACAGTTAAATCTGAGGCTTGAAGAGACTTTTTCAAAAAATGTTGCCTTAATTTGGCCTCTCTGTTCTGGAGACTAACTTTGCTGAAATCATAACAATTGGAATACTATTGTGTCAAGCATCCACCACCAAGACAAAAGGAACACCTTGTATGATCATCTGAGGAGACAATATTCTCTCTAAAAATGACACATTTCTTTAAAAGTCACAGCTGCCATAAACAGAATCAGAAATCCAGTCACAAGATAACCAGAAGATTTTCCCCCTCCTTTTGTTTTAAGAAATAAGACAGGGAGAAAATCTTTAAAAAAACAAAACAAAAAACAAAGAGCTGAAAATGAACCAAAGCAACTCAACAAATACATTGCAACAATAAATTTCTGTCTGATGCTCTCAGAGATGCAGATGAAAATGACTTAAGGTAAAACCATTATGGTGAGCCCAAGCACATGGACAGAAGGGTGGAGGAGGGTTCCTTCCAAAACCTAGATAGACCCATAATCTTAGAATTGCAGAGCTGGCAGGGATGCTATGGATCATTGAGTCCAGCTCCTGTCAAGGAAGCTCAGTGGGTAATCAAACTCCCAACCTCTAGCTCTGCAGCCAGATACCTGTAGTGTCGATAGTTATAAACTTGTCTCAGTACAGGGCAAGAGACCACAGAGGAGAAGAAGAAAACAATACTGCTGTCTTCTACAAGTAGTCCAGGGATGTAGTAGCAGGAAGGTCTACTATTTCCCATTGCAATTCCTTAGAAAAATGGACATGTAAAAAGCCTTTTCCAAGGTGGCAAAACTTGAAATTTCACATGTTGTTAAATAGCAAGAGTGCTGGTTAAAACACATACAGGTCTTAAATAAACATGAGATATTTGTATTCGTATCTCAAGGGCAAGGAGGTGGGATGACAAGTCTCCCTGCTCAGCTGTTGAGTGCTTGGCTGTATGGAGAGGTGGGGAAGCACCAGTCAGGCTACTTCCACTATTGGCACTATGCAGCTGATGACAGCTGTGCATGCCACGTTTAGAGCAGTAAATGGACCTGAAGGTTCTAGGGGGAGGGTTTGGTTTCTGCTGCCACCTGTGGTGCCGATATTCATATTCATATCAATTAGGGATATGTATACGAATATCCCATGCCTAGTCTTAAATAATTCAGAGGCCATAAACTTGTTTTCATTCACTAACACTAAACTTAAACTGGATTACAGACAAAGGGAAAGAGCTGTGTCATAATTTCTCTATAGGTGCATATAATTTAATCCCCAAGAAAAGGAGTTAAAGATTCTCAGGTATTATAAATGAACCAGTCCTTGATACAATTTCACAGAAAATGGTCAGGTTAACCTTCTTTTCAACAAGGTATTACAGCCACATTACAGCTGCAACTGCATTACCTGCAAATTGTATCCTAAGCAAACTCTAGCCTTTATAGAAATTGGATTCAGATGTAAAGCTTTCAAGAAGTCCTTCAGGGCTTGTTCCGTGCCTTCCACATGACCATATTCCAGGTATGAATTCCCTCGTCCAATGTAACCATCCAGAGAAAAAGGATCTAATTTAAGGACCTTAGAAAATGACTGCACAGCTTCTTCATATTTCTGAAGCCTAAATCAATATGCATATGAAGGCTATTGTTACTATCAGAATGCTTAATGCAGAATACTTTAAGATACATTTTAACAAGAAAGGAAGCAAAAGAGCATACATTAATTTTGTTTACAGACAGCTTCTGGCTATAATTTCCTATTTCCAACATATTTCTCCTCTCTATCCAACATTTTCTTATGTGGCAAGATTTATAACATTTATTTATTTAGCTATCAGAACAGCTCTGCCAAAATTCTGTCACAAATTGTACCAGTGAAATCAGTTGGTTCAGATGCAATCCCCAATTTGCTATTTCTCCAAACCATCCAATTATGGTTTCTGCATGCTCTGCAAACCATGATTACACCCTGGTCACTAATCATAAATCATGGTCTGCTGGTGCATATGAAATGTCAAAACATATCAGCTTCTAAGAAATCTTGTTTATTTTAGAGTGTTAAGTGAGGGACATTCAAACCGTTTATCAGAAAACCTGTTTTGGATTATTGTGTGCTATGTGTGCACTCACGTACATGACATTACTGAGTTAAATATTAGGATAGATGACATTTGATAAATTGTTCTCGTAACTAGAGATATGCATGAAATGAACCATGAACCAAAAAACATAATAAAGTGGGTTGGTTCATGGTTCACCAACTAGTTTGTGGATCCCATTTTTCCAAAGCAAAATGAAATGCCGAACATTTCTGTCTGTGGCACTTTGTTTGCTTTGGCAAAGTGAGAGGCCCATGCACTCCATTCCCAATGCCTCCGTCACCTACACCTACCTGTTCCTGCCACTGCCACTGCCACCACTGCCAGTGCCATCCTTGGAGGCAGCAGGTCCAGCTTCCCTGCCAGAAGCCATCTGCTGCCTCTTAGAATGTGCCCACCTATCAGCTGGGTGGTGGGTGGACGCTCAGAAGCAGCCACCCAGCTTCCTGGAACTTCTTCTGGGCATGCACCCAGCTGACAGGGGAGCACATGCTCAGAGACAGTGCCCAGTTTCCTTGCCAAGAGCCTGCTGCCATCTCTGAGCATGTGCCTGAAGAGGCAGACAGAGGCTGCACAAACCAGATAAATAAACCACAAACTGGTTTGTTTTCCAGATGTTTGTGGCCATGAACCACAAACTATCACAAACCACTGTTTTTCCGGTTTATGCCCATCTCTACATATAACACAAAAGCTACATACAGTCTTTAAAATATGCATTTCATTGTATCAAGGCCTCAGAGTAAGGAGTTAAAATGACTTCTTAAACTAACAAAAGTTACTTATATCACATCATTGTTTTTCTCCATGAAATCTTCTGTAGAATTTGTAATAAAAAGCAAAGCTTGCTGCTTATATACTGCCCCATAGTGCTTAAAGCACTCTTTGCATGGTTTACAATTTAATTATGCAGGCTATACACTGAGAAACATGTCCATAAAAAACATGTACATCATCATTCCAGAATATTTATATGCAAGAAGTACACAGAAAGCATATGGGCATGCCCAGGAGATTTGAGTACATAATATCTATTACTGATATCCCCTCAATAATTAGAACAGGAACAGACAGCATTATTCTCATGCAGTTGTGCTACAATAGCTTGAGTATAACAATTTATAATGGTCAGAGAAAAAAGCTTGCAAAGCCAGAGGTTAAACCTTAAGCTGCCTACTCAGTTGGTGTGAAACATCCATCGAAAGTGTTCTTTTACAGTTAAATACAGACTAACATTTTTCTTGAAAGAAGTGATAGAAATGAGAATCAATAAACATCATGTAATAGAATGTACTGTCATTACCATGGATTGAGTAACTGCACCACATACACACTCGTAGAGATGTGTGTATTAGTCAGTTTATCAAAATAACATTTAAATAACTATATATCTAGCTTATTGATTTTTAAATCAGTGAACAGGTCTAAGAAGCTTTCTGTGGAATGCTGTTTCCTAGCAACCACTAGAAAATAAGCAAAAAGATAGTGAACCATTGCGCTAAAAAAATGGATAAAGAAAAGAGGGCTGGTTCCTCAGGAAGAGAAAATCCCTCACCTTTAATTCAAGACTAGCTCTGCCACATAGGATAGTGAAACCCCCTGCTTGAGAAGGCATGTGGATGAGATAGATGGACAGGAACTAGTGTTCAAATGGAGTCATTTGCGCTCCATATCAAGCAGTGAAATTATCTTAGGTTACCTCTGCTTTCTTGTTCATCTTTGTCCACTACATCTTTGCAAACTTGTAACTGTAACAAAAGGTGACATCAAAACACATATTCCAAACTCCTGCTGATCAGTATTTAATATTACCTGTGGCAACAGAGTCCAATAACCTGAAGCAGTTTAGTATCTTTGGGTTTACTCTGTGCTGTCTCCAAAAAATCCTAAAAACAGAGGAAGAGAATACTTGTTATGCACCTGATACTGATGTCGGAGGCACCATCCAATAAGTACCAGTAGTAGAGATGGATACGAACTGGAAAAATGATGGTTTGTGGTTCATAGCTACACAAACTATCAAAACTCTGAAAAAACAAACTGGTTCATGGTTGATTTTTCAGGTTCGTGCCAGAGTGTGGACTGCCTGCCTGCCTGCTTCTCCCCCAACCACTGTCTCTGTGACCTCCTACTTTCTCTTGAAGTCTCCACTGCCCCTGTCACATCTATTATGACAGGCAGCTAGGATGGTTGCCTGTGCACATGAGCCCAGTGATCAGCAGACAGGTGGCTGCATGAGCACAGGCAGCAGGTCTTGTTGCAAGGACCCAGACCTACAGCTATGTGTACATACCTGCTGCTCAGCTAAGTGGTGGGTGCAGATGCACACCCAGCAGTCCCAGGCCTCCTGCCCGTCAGGATGGTGGCGGTGGCTGTGGTGGCAGCTTGAAGCCTGGGTATAGAGCTAACGGGGGCAGTAGGAGGTGGCTGAGTGGTCATCTCCTTTTGCCAAACAAAGTGAAGCACCAAGGGGAGAAAAATCCAGTGCTTTGTTTCATTTCAGCAAAATGGGATTTCCAAACGAAACGATTCACAAGCACAGTTTGGGGATTTTTTCTGGCTTGTGGTTTGGTTCCTGCCCATCTTTAACCAGCAGTAATGACCCCTGTACGCTTGCTATGAAATAGATTCGTTTTACTGCTGAGTGTTATTTGAGTGATTTCCTCACAACAGAAGAACTTGCACTTAACACACTGGGGATAAATTAATTTTATGATTTCACCATATTTTCCATGTATAAGATGCCCCCAATGTATAAGATCCCCCCCCCACTTTTCTAACCCAAAATTTCTTTCTTTGTAAGGAAGTGGAGGGGGGAGGCAGGGATCAAAGCGATTTGATTCCTGCTTTTCCCCTCCACTTTCTTGGGAAGAAAGTGGAGGGGGGAAAGTGATTCCTTTTTTACCCCTCCACTTTCTTGGGAAGAAAGTGGAGGGGGAAAGTGATTCCTTCTTTACCCCTCCACTTTCTTGAAAGTACTTTTCCGCACCACTTTCTTTGCAAAAATCTACTTTCCCCCGCCACTTCTTGCAAAAATAGTTGAGGGGGTGCTTTCCCCCTCCACTTTGTTTGAAAAAAGTCAGCACTTTCCTCTCAAGAAAATGGAGGGGGAAAGAAGGTATCACTTTTCCCCTCCACTTTCTTGAAAGTATTTTTCTGCACCACTTTCTTTGCAAAAAGCTACTTTCCCCCACCACTTCTTGCAAAAAAAGTTGAGGGGGTGCTTTCCCCCTGCACTTTCTTTGCAAAAAGTCGAGGGGGGAGCAGGGATCAAAGGGCTTTGATCAAAGCGTTCCTTACATTACATTACATAGGCATCCTTCAGTCTCAAGAGACTATGGTGACATGCTCTGAATCGAGGAATGTCCTCTCCAGAGCATGAAGCCCGGGTAAGGTAATATGGAGGATAGGCTGTTACCCAAGCTGCAGATCCCCCCTCTCCACATTGCTGAAATGGTCTAATGGAAAGGCAAGAGCCAATACAATTGGTTCCAGCAATGTCGCAGGAGTTGGCAGAACGACATGAGCTGCCTTCGGGACTCCAGCTCCGGATTTTGCCTCTAGGTTAACTCCTGAAGCCTTTTCCATGAGTGGATATAGCCACAAGGCAGTGGAGGTTTGAAATCGGAGTTTCCCTTCTCCTAGATGGGCTGCCTCCCATGGCTGACGAGCCCCACCTATATATCAAAAGAGAATTTCATTATTAAGGCTTCCAGGAGCAGAAACCCACATTATTATCCTCAGATGTTTTTAGGAAAGCCATAGAGGACAGTATATGTGACCCATAAGGCACATTTTATCTGACTTATTAGAAACCATTTTTGACAGCTATCTAGATTATGCATTCTGTACTAACTCTGCTTTCTGAGCCATCCTCAAAAGTATCGGCATTTACAGTGTAAGACAAGTAATATACTGTAGATGGGAAGTTACCATGGCCTGAATTACTGTGAAAAGGTTAATCCTGTCCAGGAATCACTGACAAAACACTCAAACTGAACTTCCTATAACAAAATTGAATCCTAGAGGAGCGCCAAGCTGTAACTGCTCCATCAGGGTACTGCAAACTTACCAGAGTCAGATGTCCACCCAATTCCTGGACCAAGCAACCTCATGTTTTTTTTTGTGATTCAGTTTTAGTTTACTAACAACTGATTTTTTTCATTAAATATATTTCTAAACCAATCTAAATAATTGCCCTATCCATAGGGTAGGATGTTTTGTTACTTTGCATTATTTTTTTGATACTGTATCAAACAATGGAATTCATAAAACCTTTTTTTTCAAGCTGCTGCACTCTATATTAGAGAAATAGGAAACATATTTTTAATATACTGAATCAAGAAAAATCTATACCTCCAATGCATTAGTATATTCTTCCAGTTCTGTGTAAAGCAATGCACGGTTGATCAACACTTTCAAGACAATGTCCTTGTTTGCTTCAAGAAGAAGAACAATCCCATAATCTATCAAAGCCTATAAAATATATATTACATCATAATTGTATGCATTTGTAGAAACAAAGAATTCTCCACTGTATGAAGATGCTTGAGTCTTTATTAAGTCAATTGAATAATATTCTATGAATGCTAATTTTACATAAAATAAAGCTTACCTTTTTGTACTCTTTCAGCTGGTGGAAGGAAATTGCTCTATTATAATATGCCAAAATGCATGTATTGTCCAAGAGTGTAGCATTAGTTAAATCTTCAGCAGCCTCCTTATAGGTCTATAAAAAAGATAGCATAGTATTAGATGTTATCATCTGAGATCACAGTAAACCTGTGTATATATATAAAAATAAAAACTTTGTGCATCTGCTGGTAGGAATTTTATTGATCTTCCTTCCAATATGCAGCAGTGGCCCCCAGTGGTTCTCAGTGAGAATGGCTCTGAAGGAATAACACTGCATAATGAAATACTGTACTCATTCCCGGGAGGATTTTTTTTCAAACTAATATAAACATTTGTTTCCAATGCCGGCAATGATGTTATCTCATGACTAGTATCTTTCCCACTGGGGCATTAGATATGAGTAAACATGCACAGGATTACAATGCTAATCTTTGAACTTCACAGAACTCTTTTTATTATCCATATCATTTTCTTTACCTTATGCTATTACCGATGGAATTATTTTACTAGAGTTAACATTATCCAATTCTGAAATTTTATTCAAGTCTTTTTGTTATTCTGCAAGTTGTTATTATGATGAAAGTGTATTCCTACAGCCATGTTCAATTATGATTGATTACTTCATTCATCTACAAATCAACAGCTTCTTCTGGTCCAGCAATGAACTTCAAACATACATCTTCATCTGTGACAGACTTTGCATATGCTTCACTCCCAAAAATTAAGACAAGAGTAGGTATGTTTACCCTGTTATAAAATTTCAGGACTCCTCTGTAAAGGTAGGCTCTCACACTTCTGGGCTCAATTTTGATGGCTTCGGTACAATTCATTATTGCCTTAGAAAATCTTCCTTTGCTCCCATAATAAGCAGCTCGACTTAAATATGCCTTTTTCCAGACAAACATAAACACATTACAGAACAAAACCAGCTGGGTATACTCCAATGACATCATATTGTCTACATGATATTGACTTATGATTCTAACAGAGGAATAAAAAGTGTAACATTTTCAAATTCTAACCTGTCCAAAATGTTTTGTAAATGTCACTAGAATCAGGCATGTTAACAAGAAGTTATCATATACACACAGCAGCCAAAAGCATTTCTATATAATAATCATTTGGGCATTAAATGAAAACTAGCTTATAATCTGCATCTGGGAAAATGTTTTTGTCCTACCAAATCATGCATTAATTTTGTTGCAATTCCCAGGAGGAATAAGAATGCAAAAAATGTCACAGGGCGCTATTGTAAATATAATCCATGCTATTGGCCAGAATCCTATTATGACTTTATTCTGGAGTAAGTGAACGTGTGTAAAATGTGGTGGTAAATTGTAGCCTTTTAAAAGGTGGTGTATGACCAGCCATGCAACTAGGTAAAGGTAGAGGTTCCCCTTGACATTTAGTCCAGTCGTATCCAACTCTAGGGCACAGTGCTCATCCCCATCTCCAAGCCACAGACCCAGCATTTGTCTGTAGACAATCTCGATGTTTTAAATGGGTTTTTTTCGCTGTGCGATGATCGGTTCCCTGCTTTGGGAACCGATTTTTGCTTTAAGACGATCAGCAAACAGCTGGTCATCGAGTTTCAAAATAGCTGCCGGCTGAAGGAAATGGCCCCCCACTGTTTTCTAGGACGGATCCCTTGCTTTACAAGCACCGAAAATGGTTGCCGTATGGAGGATCTTCACTGGACGAGCAGGTATTCAGCCCATTGGAACGCACTGAATGGTTTTCAATGTGTTTCATTGGGTTTTTTATTTTGTTTGACGCCGTTTTCGCTCTACAGCGATTTCGCTGGAACTAATTAACTTCATCAAGCGAGGCACCACTGTATATGGATGAAAGAATGCCTGGGGAAAGTGAATGAACACTTGTAAATACATATACACATAGGCTCTCCTGAGGGGAAAACCACATAAAGCATTACAATAAGGGCACTGTACTAATGGAAAGTATTGTGGTGATGGATAGATGTCTTCATGTTATTTTACTTTTTTGGTTATGAAGAGGATTTAACTCACTTCTTAGTTGCTTGTGTTGTTCAGACAAAAATGAAAACATATTCATGACCATTCTTAAACATACGTAGGTGTTGGTAAAAAGCTTTTGCCTAAATAAGGAATTTAACAAGAATCAGCTTTCCTATTAAACTTAATTTTTCCTCTACTATTTAATACTTACTGCAGATCTTCAACAATCAAATAATTAGCTTTACCTGAAAATGCTTTGGTGAAACACTAAGTGTTTTATTAAAATCTAATATGCATTTAGCTTGCTGAAGTTGCATTCTGCATAGCCCTCGCTGATAAAATGCATCTGCATAATGTGGGTATAATCGAACAGCAGCAGTAAAAGCATCACATGCCTAAAAAGATAGTATAATAGGCTTTAATAAATATTTTTCAAATGGTTGGAATATTAGCATATAAAGTTAATTTAGTAACGTTCTTCATATTTTACTTTTTAGTTCAATTTATAGCAAATTTGGCATACTGTGAAAATACAGACACTACAAGATAAAGCACTCAGTTTTTAATATATATCACAGCATTTCCTTCTATAAAATTGAAGTTTCAAATATGAGAAAAAAGAGAATAGAAATGCATTTTACATTTAACTACTAAAACAGGTAATTTTAAAGATCTTTCTCTGCAGCAAATCAGGGATAATGGTTCTAAACACATACTACTTTGCCAGATAGTTTGTTCATACAGCTCCACATATACCATAGTTAGTTCTATGAATTATTTATAATCAACACGTATAACCTGCTTTTACACATACCATGAAGTATAACTAATAACAAAGATGCTAAGAACATTACAATAAACTGCATATGAAAACAATAATAGTAAAAATTTAAGGACAATACCATAGATTTAATGCAATAGTACAACCATACTTAGGAATAAGGACAAGATTAAGCTGGTGGGCCATAAACTTTATTGAATTGAAGATTTTTGCAATCTAAAGGAAAGTCAATAGCAAGGGAACTTCATGAGTGCATGTGGGTGGGAAGTTCTAAGCTTGTGCAGACCCCATTAAAATGCTGTCTTCTCATGGCAACAGTGGCATCACATAAACTTTACATAGCAGAAACATATTTTCCCCTAATCTTAATACTCAAGCAAATTCATAGTGTGGAAACCTGTTATTTTTTAAAAAAAACTGGACATAAGTTGGATGTACTATAGGGGTATGGCTGAAATGATTTCAGTAATTGCCTCCTCATCCCAATTCCCAAATTTCCTTTCTTGGAGTGCTCAAAAAGAGTTTAGTATATATTTTAATATTTAGGAAATTAGTGAAGAATGACTTAAAATATTTCATCTCAGAATTCATTTTCAACTGAACAATCAGAACTCTAATCTACAATACTTAAAACCAAGAATACAGAACTCTAAAAAAAACCAGTTACCTCAAACAAAGAGATCTGTTCCATGTAGCACTGTCCTATTAAAAAATACATTTCTGCAGCTTCAAATGTATTGGGTGGATTTTTTGCAGTGCCAGTCAGCAACTTTAACGCCTGTTTAAAACTAGCTATTGCATCCTGTAATAAAAGGTTAATGACAATTTCTTTTTATTTTAGTTTTGTAGATTATCAGCTCCTGTACCTCTACCATGAGCAGAAACAGCAACCACCAGCCCAGCCCACTCCACAGCCTTTGACAAAGGTCTTTCTGTTCCGCTTTCGCTGAGACTCCAGAGGCTGGATCTGGTGCTCTGACACTGAGTGACAGTCTGAACTGATAAACCAACACCATCTGTCCGAGTCACATTGTCAAGTCCCTATGAACCCACCACTGCCACCTGGCCCCACCTCCACACACCTGCTGCCACCATCATCTTCAAAGCAAGCAAGCCTTGGCCCATCCACACACCGGTTAGCTGATAGGCCGGTGCAGGCAGGCTTTCTGAAACAGGATGAATGTTCTAGTATGCAGGGTGTCCAAATACCTTTCACTGTGATGCTCTAGCCTGCCACTCTTATAGGCCAGGTCCTCCTACCTGCTGGCCTATCAGCTGGGCTGTGTATGCACAGTCCCAAGCCTCGGGGCCAGGACCAAAGACTCAGAGAATTGGACTTGGGGCTTGGGACTCGAACCCTGAAACTTGCACTCAGACTTGGGACTCGGTCCTGGAGACTTACCAAGAGGGGCTGGTTGAGCTGATACTAAGCTAACTGAGTCAGTGCTAAATCCAAAACCCTTTGAGTCTAGAGATGTTGGAAATTACAGAGAGTTACCATGATCCTGGTTTAACTATGTGGCTATGAGTCAGGCTGAGAGGGGTTTGGATCTGGCATAATTTTCCCCCACCCACAACCTTTTTAGCTCATCTGCTGCCTGCTCTCAGCTAGCACAGCAATTGTGTCAGCAGATCTGAAATAAGCTGGCATAAGGGTAGTTGTGCCAACACAAGAGGCTTCTGTCTATTCCAGAGCTACAAGGACTTGCATATCTTTGAGTTCAGGTCATACTGCTAGGCAGTAAAGTCATGGTCCTAGCCCTAAAGAATGACTGAAGGACTGAGTTGTTCCAATGTATGTAAATATTGTTTGGTAAAAAGCAACCTGACTGCAGAAAAGAAGAACCGGCTACTGGAAAGGGCAGTCTGAAATGGGGAGATAACCAAGCTTTAGACTGATTTTAGAATAATTAGGTTTAACTATGTCATATTAGTTTGGTTATAGAAGAAGAACTGAAGTAAGTAAGTTGTGGGCCATGACAATTCAGAGTGTTGCCTTCAGCTTGGGATATTTTCTTGAACAAAAACAAAAATTATTGTGAAACTTTAAAGCTGAAAAAATATTTGGGGGAGATTTTGTGAGTTGCAATCTATTTCTTCAGACATAAGGATTGCAATTCTCGTACTTAAACACATCACACATGAATAAAAAAATTGGATTGTAATCCATGAACACTTACACTGAAATACTGTATTTGATGGCATATAAGACTACTTTTTTGCCCTGAAAAACATGCCTCCATGTGGGGGGTCGTCTTATACGCCGGGAGCACTTCAGTTGGGATAGACATAGCTGCCTATAGTGGCCTTCCAATGCTCGCCCAGTGCCCATAGTAGCCTCCCGATTCCCACCCACCTCATTCTACATGCCATCCAGTATCGCGCAGTATCCAGGGGCTTCCCCTACCCGAACTGACGAAAATCCCAACAGCCCAGAGCGGATATATCCACGTGCCCCCGACAGGCAGCCCGCACAGGCACGGAACTCACCCTGCTCTCAGCCAGGGACTCCCCAGTGCGGATGGGAAAGGCAAGGCTGCCGGGGCTTCCGGCTACCATCTTCGGGATTCCCCCTGCACCCGACGAGAGAAGACGGCTGGAAGTGGGTAGGCTGGCCCGCAAACGCAGGCTGCACTGTCTGGGAAGGGTGTCCCTGATGCTCCTCCCCACCCCTGGGCCTGCCGCCGAAACCAACGCAAGCCTCCTGGGGTTGCTCAGGCGCGGCTGCCCCGGCTGGTCTGCCCCGCCGCCACGGTGTCCTCCCCTCCCAGCTTCCGAGCCCTCGTCGGGTAATTCTCTGGCTGCTGTGACTGAGGGTGGAGGATCTTATGAAAAGCGGGCTCGCCCTCTCGGTCTGCTCCGCCACCACCTATCTGCGTCCTTTAAAACTTTCCCCCACCACCTCAGGTAAGCCCTACCGTCACTTGGGCCCCAATCCGCGGCACACCTCGCTATGGGGGGAGGGGGTAAAAGGCAGGGGGAGGCGTAGTCTTATACGGCAAGCATATAACAAACACTATATTTTGAGTGGAAATGTTGGAGTCGTCTTATCCACCCAGTCGTCTTATACGCCGGCAAATACGGTAAGTGTGTTAGCCTTAAATGTAACTGTGTTAATGCCTCATTAACTATGGGCAGCTAGCACAGCACAAAGGGTAATCCTAAAAAGCGTGTTTTCTGGAGAAGAAAGTGACTACGTAGTTGTTTTTTTAACTGTGATTCTTTGTGCAGATCTGTGAAATCACACTAATGAGATTATGGTTTTGCACCTGCACAGAGCATGATTCAGAACCTTCTAGAGCTAAACCACAAGGCAGGAAGCCCACCTCTATCCTTCATCACACATGTTTACAGCACACGAACCTTGGGTAAAGACTCTCAATTCTAGTCTTCTGCACACTTGAGAAAATAAGCAGACTAGACACAAGAGGAGAGGAGAATGGGTTGTGTGAGCTCACCAGATAACCCCTTGAAGAGCCACATTTAAAAGCAAACCCTTGTTCTTCATTGGTATCTCTGTGACTTACACTACTGGAGAGTGATAGTACAGAAAAAAGACCTTGTCTACTTGTATTTCTACTTAAAACCATCCTTCCTTCCCCTTTCATAGCTGGCCCATACCTTCCTGGCACAGAGCTAGGGCATGTATTCTTTTGGAGATGACTCATGGAGATGCAAAACAGCTTTGTTCTGCCTTCATTGACCAAGAGTTTAAATAGATTGCACTGAAGATAAAGCCATTTTAGGTACTGGCCAGATTGCACCAAATTTCACAGTGTGGACAGGCCTTTCAGAGATAGAACTGAGATCTAAATTAGCAACAAGAATGCCCATATGTGGGGCTATCTTATACCAGTAATCGGAACATTTCTTTAAAAGTGCCCCAAAGGTCATAAAATCAGTCTAAGCCTGCAAAAAACAAAGAAAGGTTGGCTAACATATTGCTGTCTATAACACAGAAGAACAAATGTTTTGTGGTATAAGAAATGTTGACAGAACAAGAAGCCAAATATTCATTCAATCCCATGGCAAATGTCTATTTCAGCCACACCCATTTTCCCCTTTCCATTCAAAATTACACATATGTAAGAGTGTTTCTTTAACCTTGTGTTTTCTGGCTTTCATTTGGATTTTTCCAAGCAGAACAAACATGGCAGGCTCAGGCTCCTGTTTGGTAACTGATAGTGCACACTCAATAGCTTTGTTATGATTCTGACAAAATGACTGAACGAGTGCTTCTTGAACAAGAGAACATTCAAGGGATCCTGGAAGAAATGTAAAGAAAATATTTTTGATGGGTTTACTAATTTCTATAATTCCACAAATCCATACTAGAGATGGGGATGAATTAAAAAATGAATTGCAAAATTCATCAAAAATTGCTAATTCATCAATTTATATTCATATAATGCCCCAACAAATAGGAATCAAAAAATTTGAGACATTTTTGTTCATAAATTCATTGGGCTATAAAATGCCTCCCAAGCACCCAGAGACAACAAACTTGAATAGGTGCTTCCCCTGACTGTCCTCTACAATCCCTACAAGTTTGGTGAAGACTGGGTTTTCGATGTCCATGTTATACATCCACAAAGAAGACCCATCGAGGAAAGATCCGCCCCAGGAACCTAGAGACACCAAAATAACAAAGAAGCTTCCCATGACATTCCTGTACAATATTTTCCATTTTGGTGAAGATTGGGTTAACACACACATACGTGAAAAAAAGAAACTTCCAAAGCCAGCAGAAGATCATTTCTAGGGTTTTGAAATCAGTGGTTTTTGAAAGCAGCTGATTTCTGAAGTGGATTAGCAGCAGATGTTTGCTGCTATAGGATTCTCTCAATATACCACTAATCTACTACGACAAACAGAGGAAGGAAAATCCAACAGACAAAATGATTTCGAAGGTTTTTAAGGGGTTATAAAGGGCTTTTCCAATTTCTTGAAAAACGATTTCTGATTAGAAATCAGTTGGACTTAATGAGGGTCACTCAGCCGGTGTGCAGGGAGACTTGTCCTCCCTCCCCATCCCTGGAGTAGGTAGGCAATCGGGAAGAGAGTGGCACTCTGGGATTAATTGGAAGGATGAGCGAGGCTGCTGCTGCCACCTGACACATGACTGGACTGTCTGGCCCCAGGGGCCAGACCCTTGTTAAGTTCAGCTGTGTGGGAATATATGTATACAAATACCCCCATCTCTATTTCTGATCCATTTCAACCTGATTTCTTAAGAAAGAGAGAAGATGGGTGGGTACTATGGGCACAAATTCCAGTGAGATTTGCCCTTAGAGCACCAAGAGCAGCCCATGGAAAGGATGAGCTCTCTGACTCCAAGATCCCAAGCTGCATTCATCCATCCCATCTATCCATCTATCCGTCTATCTGTCTGTCTGTCCATCTTATCTATCTATCTATCTATCTATCTATCTATCTATCTATCTATCTATCTATCTATCTATCTATCTATCTATCTATCTATCTATCTATCTGTCTGTCTGTCTGTCTGTCTGTCTGTCTATAACTCTACCACTAGCTGAAACTACACTAGCAGAAGGCAGCTTTGCATAATTCAGCCTTAATTAGTTTCCTAATCAAGGAATGGTGCCTGGCAAACCTCTGTAGGAAGCCTGTTCCACTACCACTAGCTGAAACTACACTAGCAGAAAGCAGTTTTGCATAATTCAGCCTTAAATAGTTTCCTAATCAAGGAATGGTGCCTGACAAACCTCTGTAGGAAGCCTGTTCCTGAAGAAAGGGGCCACGAATAAGAGAGTTCAGTTCCATGTGTTTGGGCTTCCTTGGGTGTTTCAACTGTTAGCATCAGTGACTATGAGGAGCATGTGGGATGGATACCTGTTTTCTGAGAGTCCACCAAATATCAAGGTCCTAAACCATTAAGGCTTAGCATTTGGTGTCATTCCTGCCATGTTCATCAGTGTCACCACTTTATATGAATGATGTGACACAGGCCTACACAACTTGGGGTGAAATCTAACTGATAAAAGCCACTCATATGATGGCAACTGCAGTGTTTTTCCTCCTCCTCTGCTTTCACACAATTGGTTGCACCACTGTATGATTGGTGTGAAAATGAGAATGTAGCAGAGGGGAAGAAATGCTTGCATAGTTGTGCAGTTGTATAAAGGAATAGGATTTTGGCAAAAGTACAAGGCAGAACATGTATGCAGTCATGCATATGTTTGACTACCATAACCCACCAAAAAGGCATGATTTATACAGGAATTCATACATTAACATGCTAGTGTGATATTATATGCATGGTTGGAGGGGATCTGTGGCTCCTGAATATCCCCCTACTAAATGTGTTTAGAATTTACAAATATATGAGCCACATAGTAGAAGTCCTTTGAATATGCAGCATTTGTTTCCCTGTTCATTTAGGGTTGAAGAGAGAAAAACAGAAGAAATATTTTGTGACCCTCAGCCCATAGCAGTAGCAGCACAGTATCATCACGTTCTGTTTTAAATATTTTCTGAGATCTGTGCCAAGCACCAAAGAACAGTTCCACAGGCTCAATGGGATGTTGAGTTTGTTTTTTCTTTGAAGCAGCAGCATCTCATGCCATCTATCAAACCACTTTTGAATTGGGAAGGGAAATCTAAAAGAAATTGTAACTGGGCTTGAGGGGTATCTGCTTTACAATGGAAAAAAATTATAAACAGTTCCATTTAGGATGTTTCAAGTAACTCCTTGTACTATGGCCATGTTTCCATAGAAGTCAAAACAGAAATAAACCTCACCTTGGTCCATTTTAGCCACTTGGTATATACAGAAACTTGCAAGTTCATAATTCTTCATTGCAAGTAAATACTGTCCTCTGAAAAAGAATTTTAGCAAATCTAAATTGCTCAGAACTTCTGCACTTTAGTTAACATCTCAAAATATACTGTATTAACAGAGCATTCCTAAACAGGGGACAGTTAAGTGTTCCTTTGCTCACCACTTCTAAAATATTGTCAGCTTACAGTAGTCAATGCAGAAGGCAGTTCTTTCTATTCTTTTTTTTAACTATTCTTTTTTTCAACGCTCTTTTATTCCTATATGTCCTAATCCTGGAGTTCCTCTTGGCAATGAAGGGGCCATGAACTTCAAAGATCCAAGATCACCTTCATCTCACCCCTGGTTTGTATGTGTATTTGTAATTCCTATGAATCAGTTTAGCATATTGGGTGAGAAATCTTGAAGAAAGAGATTGTGAAAAGTTACAGTTCAAAGAGAGAAAAACAAAGCTGGTAAAGAACTGGATTACTGTTGTTTAGGACTGAGTCCGTCAACACATTAATTGCAATTTATGTGCATAAGGGTGTATCTGGAAGGCATGTTCTTTGTAGCTTTGGTATAACTTGTTATCTGTGTATTTTCTTCTGAAGTTTTAAGGTAGTACTTATCAGAACTGCTGTTTTTTTTGGGGGGGGGAGTGCCTATAGGACTATACAAGAGAAATTTCTGAGAGACAGGAATGCTTTAGGACTCAGAGCAGAATGAGATGTTATTGATAGCCTCTGATGAGAGCTGAAAGCATCTTACTTTTGGAAATACATATTTAAGGCAGTCTTTACTTTTTAAGAAAATCATACTTCAAAGAATTCTGATATTTAAGTTCTGAAAAAGACGGGTTACTTACCTGTAACCATGGTTCTTCAAGTGGTCATTCTGTGAATCCACACAATAAGGGTTAAATCAGCGCCTGCGCTGGTCTCCTCGGAACATTCGAGAGCTCTGTAAAAGAAACATTGTTAGAATGACCTACACTGCGCATGCTCCACCCACCCAACGCTCAGTTCCATTTATCCGCCCTAGATACCGAGAATGTCGTAGGCTTACAGGGACGGATAGTGGGGAGGTTGGGTGGGTTTGTGTGGATTCACAGAATGACCACTTGAAGAACCATGGTTACAGGTAAGTAACCCGTCTTT